AGCCTTTACAACCATTTTAACTATTCTTTTTCCATTATCATAACTTAATTTATGTAACCTTTGGGAGTTGTTTATATGCTGCATTCTGACAGGTTGTTGCATTCTTATCCCCTTCATTTCTCACCTTATGTGGGTACATAAACCCTAATCATGTGGGTATTAAAAATGTTACATGCCCATTTCCTTACAAACTAAAAATGTTTTATTTTACTCTTTACATTAATTCATGATTCTTGTGTCCAATTTCATGCTAAGATGAAATGTTTATTTTAGATTTTGTCACAATTTTTCAGTTTTTGCAATACTGTATGGTTTTTAGACAATTTTCGTTCTCTGGGTAATCAAGTCTGCCCCAACTCCCACCCATAGAGATGACTCTCTGATTTTGATTTGATGCTCTTCTAGGTGGAGCAGGAGCAGCAGTTTTTAAGAATCCACCAAATAGTGAGGTAAATGCAAAATTTGCCACAGATGTTAATGTTCGCCTGAGGCACTGCTGAACAAACTATAGTCAAAAAAAGGCATGGCAAATTGGGTACAGCCATTGGCATCTGTATTAATACACAGGTCTTCCATGGAGAGTTGGAGAAAGACCCTATTTACAGTTGCAAGTGCAACATGGAAAATGCACAAGTCCTCTAAATTACAGATTTGGGGAAGCATTAAAGCTGTAGGGTTATAGAAAAGCACAATTTTAGAGACATCATCAGCAACAGTGTACTGCAGTGCATATTTGACTGCAGAAATGTTTTTTCTTTTACATGTAGCACTATTACAGACAGTAGTTAGACTACAATCTACTATGATCTAAAAAATTTCAGTAATTTCAACATTTCAGTGCATTTGCAATGTGGTTCTATACCTATTTTGATTAGCAGAAATTGTAGCCCAAAGAAGCTTAAAGTATAATTAAAGTCAAAACTTTTTTGTTTGTTGTTTTGGCTAGAGCGCAGAGGGATTAGAACACCTGTCATTTTTTTTTGCTGTCTGTTCCCCCGTTAAAGAGACTCATGCCCTCTATTTGTCTATTTACTGTTATCATCGAAAGTGAAAGGAAAAGAAATTTCAAAATTTCGGGTTCACAACAGAACACTAATAGAGGGGAAATCTTTCAATGGGGACACTAGTTCCAGTGACTTTGGTGACACAACAGGATTTTCTCTTTCTGAAGGGATTTCCTCTCACATCCTGTTTTAACTATAGAACAGGAAGCGAAGGGAAATCTCCCCAATGGCACACCAAAAAAAAAAGTGAGTGGGTTATAATTCTCCCTTACTTTATCCAAAATGACAAAAATGCTGTTAGTTACACTTTAAATGGCGAGTGGAATATAATAGTATTGACGTTGTGAGCTAGCTCCAACTAAAGCAGTATGTTTCAGATGATTTGGATAGTTAAAAAGAAAAGCATATGGCCTTATGGTATCAATAATGCAATCCTCATGCTTAAACGGGAGACAGAGAGTCACAGAATACCACTGAACCCTGACCAGACCCCCTTCTTCCTCCATCCACTAACATTGCCATCATTTTTTTCACTTCAAATAAATATGTATTTCAATTATTGCTCTTTTGCAGTTTATTTTATTATTTATTTATACACTATACTGCCAAGTATTCGGACATCCCTCCAAAGTATTGGATTCAGGTGTTCCAATCGCTTCCATGGCCACAGGTGTATAACTTTAAGCACCTAGGCATGCAGACTGCATCTACATTCCTTTGTGAAAGAATGGGTCACTCTCAGGAGCTCAGTAAATTCAAGCATGGCACTGTGATAGGTTGCCACCTGTGCAATAAGTCCATCCATGAAATTTCCTTGCTACTAAATATTCCACGGTCAACTGTTAGTGGTATTATAAAAAAGTGGAAGCAACTGGGAACAACAGCAACTCAGCCACAAAGTGGTAGGTGACATAAAATGACAGGTCGTGGTCAGCGCATGCTGAAGCGCACAGTGCGCAGAAGTCGCCAACTCTCTGCATAGTCAATAGCTAAAGACCTCCAAACTTAATGTGGCCTTCAGATTAGCACAACAACAGTGTGTAGAGAGTTTCATGGAATTGGTTTCCATGGGCCAGCAGCTACATCCACGCCTTACATCACCAAGTGCAGTGCAAAGTGTCGGATGCAGTGGTATAAAGCATGGCGCCACTGGATGCTAGAGCAGTGAAGATGTGTTAGTGACAAATCATGCTTCTCTGTCTGGCAATCCGATGAATGTGTCTGGGTTTGCAAGGAGAATGGTATTTGCCTGACTGCATTGTGCCAAGTGTAAAGTTTGGTTGAAGGATTATGGTTTGGGGTTGTTTTTCAGGGGTAGGGCTTGGCCCTTTAGTTCTAGTGAAAGCGTCGGCATACCAAGACATTTTGGACAATTTTGTGCTCCCAACTTGTGTGAATAGTTTGGGGATTGCCCCTTCCTGTTCCACCTTGACTGCACACCAGTACACAAAGCAAGGTCCATAAAGACTTGAATGACCTGGTTTGGGGTGGAGGAACTTAACTGGCCTGCACAGAGTCCTGTCCTCAACTCAACAGAACACCTTTGGGATGAATTAGAGTGGAGACTGCAAGCAAAGCCTTCTCATCCAACATCAGTGCCTGACCTCAAATATGCGCTTCTGGAAGAATGGTCAAACATTCCCATAGACACACTCCTAAACCTTGTGGACAGCCTTCCCAGAAAAGTTGAAGCTGCTTATCAACTATTAGAGTTTAGGCTAACTCAATATTGAACCCTACGAACTAAGACTGGGATGCCATTAAATTTCATGTGTGTGTAAAGGCAGGCGTCCCAATACTTTTGGCAATACAGTGTTTTTTACATTAACATTGTAGGTTAATTGTCTCCTGTCTAAATTAGCTTTAGTATGTGTATGTATGATTGAAAGTTAGGGACCTTAGATTGTACGCCCCTTGATGGTTAGGGACTGATGTGAATGTACAATATATAAGTAAAGAGCTGCGTAAATTGACAGCGCTATATAAGTACCTGAAATAAATAAATAAATTCCCTAACCATCAAAGAGCATGGAATCTAAGGTCCCTAACTCACATTCATACATATAATAGGGCCAGTTTAGACAGGAGCCAGTTAACCTACCAGTTATTCATTACTGTAAATGAGATCCCCTGTATAGAGTGTGGGCCCACTGTTATTATAGCAAACAAGTAAAAATTTAAATATGACAAATTGTCATAAGGTGTAGGATGCTAGATTATTTAGCAGCATGTGATAAAATACATTCATGTATGAGCCTTTTTTGTTTGTATGCATAAACAATTTGCTTGGTATAACAAAGAATGGAAGAGCTCACACAGTATACTTTGCAAACCCATAAACAGTATGAAATGTCTTCTGAGTTAAAGGTAACTTGATTCATATTAATGAGATTTAAAGCATGCTGTAAAGTTCTGGAAATAACCATCACTATTCTATTCCAATCATTACCACAAATGAAGCTGTACAAGAACATTCTCAGAATTCCTAGAGGTTCTGTGCTCATCAGAAAAAATTCTTCAGTTGAACTTAAACTTACCCTTAGATGAACAGCAGTGATTTCTTCACATATGTAGGATTGTCAGTGCTGGAGATATTGACATAACATTTTCACAAACTTTAAGTGTCAAATATTCTGCTATATTAAAAAAGTTTTCATAATTAGTTTTGTATCTTTACTAAAATACCTAATAGTATTTAATTGTAACTTTACACTTGGAGCATTATTAAACCAAAAACAAAAATGTAATATTGCAGCTCACCAATCCTTAAAGTGGTTCTAAAGGCTTTTTCCTGAAATAACAAATATGTTATATTTACCTTCTCTGTGCAATGGTATTGCACAGAGCATGCCCAAGCCTACTTTCCTTAGGTCCCTCTTGGCGATCTCGGCATCTCTTTATCTGGTGGTTGCAGGAAAGAAAATTGTTCAGTTTATGGCTGGCTTTAGAAATTGAAGCTCAACTCCAGCTAACACATTATAAGCAGTTTAACCACTTGCCTACTGGGCACTTTTACCCCCTTCCTGCCCAGGTCAATTTTCAGCTTTCAGCACTGTCGCACTTTGAATGACAATTGCACGGTCATGCAACACTGTACCCAAACAACATTTTTATAATTTTTTTTAGACAGATAGAGCTTTCTTTTGGTGGTATTTAATCACCACTGGATTTTGAATTTTTTGCTAAACAAACTAAAAAAGACTGAAAATTTTCTTAGGCTACGTTCACACTAGCTTTGTCAGCAGGCGTCAGACAGGCGTTTGGGAAGCATTTTTAATGCTTCTCAAATGCCTATGAAAATTCTGCATATGGCAGCACACAGTGCTGTTCACACTGAAGCGTTAGCGTCACGGCAAAACTGACACCTCGTGTGGAGTCAGGAGGAGTTGAAGCCTCTCATTCAAGTCTATGGTGCCACTCCGCAAACGCCTGGCAGGCATTTGCAGTGCAGTTGCGAGGCGTTGGCGGAGCGTTAACACCATTTAACTTAATTATAGGAGTTTGCAGTGCGGTTTTAACGTTTGGCAAACGCCTATCAACTGCCTCAAAACTGCACATAGGGCATTTTGAGCATTTAGTTTGGGGGCGTTAAAAATGCTTCCGAAACGCCTGTCTAACACTTGTTAAACACTATAGGGGCATTTGGCAAGAGTTAGAAATAAAGTCAAGTGTGAATGAGCCCTTAGTTTCTGTTATAAAATTTTTATAAATAAGTAATTTTTCTCCTTCACTGATGTGCGCTAATGAGGCTGCAGTGATGGGAAATGCTAGGTTGCACTGATGGGGACTGATAGGTGGCACTGATGGGGAGGCACTGATGAGCATTGACAGGCATCACTCATGGGCACTGAAAGGCAGCACTCATATATGGCACTGATAGGCAGCACAGACTGGCACTGATAGGAAACACTGATGGGAACTGTTAGGCGGCACTAATGGGCACTGATAGGCGGCACTGATGGGCACTGAAAGGCAGCGCAAACACTGATAGATGGCACTGACTAGCACTAATAGGTGGCACTGATGGGCACTGATAGGTGGCACTGATAGGTGGCACTGACTGGCAGTGATAGGCGGCACTGACTGGCACTGATAGGCAGCACTGAAAGTCAGCTCTGATGGGCACTGATATGTGGCATTGATGTGCACTGATATGTGGCATTGATGGGCACTGACAGGTGGCACTGATGGGGCTACACTGATCATCAGGGTACTGAAGATCAGTGCCCTGATGATCAGTGTACAGTACATGTCCCCTCTGAGGAATGCTGCTTACCTGCATTTCCTATTTACATGAGAATCAGCTGTGATTGGACACAGCTGATCACATGATAGAGCCTGTGTCATCGGCTCTTTACTGTGATTGGTGATCCGCTGTGTCCCAGAGACACAGCGCATCACCGATCGCCCCATGCCCCTGTGGGCGCACATACGTAGCTAGAATGGGAGAAGCGCCGGCCTCCCATAATTTCATTACCGCAGGAGGCGGTTAAGCAAACAGTTTTTTTCCTTTTAGAATAAAGATTTTTCGTAAATGAATAAAAGCTGAACATTGTAATCAGCCCTGTCAGTGTTAAATTGTTTATCTCAAACTTGTAATAGCCACTTTTGCTTTACAGTTTGGTCTGTTAATAGAATCTGAAAAATAACAAACTTACTGGCCAAATCACCAGATGAAATAAATAAATAAATAAATAAATAAAGCCTGAAAACGTAAACAAATATAGACACCAAGCATTGGTACATTGCAATCTAGTAAATATTTGTTTTGGGTTTAATACCACCTTGAAGAGAAACTACAGTGTATATTGGTTTAAAGTTTTTTAAGTGATTTGGGTTTATCCCTTACCTTGTAAAACAACTGTAATACTGCACTGCAATATATATATATATATATATATATATATATATATATAATTTATTTTTTTTTGTGTGTGTTTACACATTCCCTACGGGAAGGCAGCAATGATGTATTTCTACTTCCTGTGCCGCCAGTCACACGCACATTTTCCTTTATGTTTACAAACTTTTAATATAGATGGTACACAAAGTTTGTACAATAGACAAAAAGTGGTATGTTAAGTCAAAACAATTCTACTGAAAAATTACAGAAAATCCACATTTCACATCTAATACAACACAAAAGCGCACCAAGCATACATTTTTATAAACTGTTAAAGAAAAAAAAAATTCAAGATTTAAGAAAACATATCAAAAGAGCTCCCGAAAAGAGAGGACAAAAACACTTAGAAATCTTCTAAATAGTAACAGTAAGAGAGTATTCATCCTACTAGTAGTGTTTGAAAGGTATAAAGAGATATCCTTATGGCAGAATAAGATACAAAAGCATATATGTATTATATATTGGTCTGGTGGAGGAAGACAATACACAAACCATGGGTCCCACTTAGCATCAAACTGTGGTTTTGATTCATGAAGCGTATGAAAGATTTGTCCCAGTAACATAATAGCATCCATTCTAGAAATAACTTGTGAAAATGGTATTGACAGTGATATCCAATTTTATGCTATTACCAAAAGCATAGCCACACACATGGTATGTATCAAATTCTCCAAAGGTCTAGTAAGAGAGGGGATAATAGTAAACAATAGGCATTGGGATCAACTCAAAACTATCCATTCTCCAGCCAATTTAGAAGCAAGGTCCAAAAGCTCATCCCAAACTGGGGATTCAAGCCAACCTGAAAACAATCCCTGAAACAGTATGGGGGTACCTGAGGATAAACACAACAAAAGTTTTAGGGGTTATAGCACCATCTTATAGATAGTTTGAGTGCAGTATCTTGGACAGTTAAGGATTTAGTGCATTTCCTAAGATTTGTCCACATCGTGTCCCATCACACGCACATTTTCAAGACACGAATCTGAGGTTGTGAGAAAAAACCTAAAACGTATACCTTGCTATGTCAGGCTTCCTTTTACGTTTCCTGTAGTTGCAGATCAGACCTGTACAATGATCTGGAGTAATTTTGGACCTCTCCTCTTCACAAAACTGTTTCAGTGTAGCAATATTCTTGGGATGTCTGGTGTGAATCGCTCTCTTAAGGTCATGCCACAGCATTTCAATCGGGTTGAGGTCAGGACTCTGACTGGGCCACTCCAGAAGGCGTATTCTGTGCTGTTGCAGCCATTGTTTTGTTGAATTACTTGTATGCTTTGGGTCATTGTCCTGTTGCATCACCCATCCTCTGCGGAGCTTCAGTTGGCGGACAGACGGTCGTACATTTTCCTGCAAAATGTCTTGATAAACTCTGGAAATCATTTTCCCATCAATGACAACATTCCGTCCAGGCCCTGAGGCAGCAAAGCAGCCCCAAACCATGATGCTCCCTCCGCCATGTTTTACAGTGGGGATGAGGTTTTGATGTTGGTGTGCTGTGCCTTTTTTTCTCCACACATAGTGTTGTGTGTTCTTCCCAAACAACTCAATCTTGGTTTCATCTGTCCACAGTATATTTTGCCAGTAGTGCTGTGGAACATCCAGGTGCTCTTTTGCAAACTTCAAACGTGCTGCAATATTCTTTTTGGACAGCAATGGCTTCCTCCGTGGTGTCCTCCCATGTACTCCATTCTTGTTCAATGTTTTCCTTATTATAGATGTGTCAACAAAAATGTTAGCATGTGCCAGAGATTTCTGAGGTCTTTAGCTGGGATTCTTCTTTACCTCATGCAGCATTCTGCGCTGTGCTCTTGCAGTCATTTTTACAGGACGACCACGCCTAAGGAGAGTAGCAACAGTGCTAAACTTTCTCCATTTGTAGACAGTCTGTCTTACCGTGGACACATGAACATCAAGGCTTTTGGAGATACTTTTGTACTTTGTTACATACAAATTCAACTTATGAACAAACCTACAGACCCTATCTTGTTTGTAACCCGGGGACTGTCTGTTCATATATCGAATGCAGAAAGGTGGGGGTTCAGGGCAGAGACAAATATTGAGATTTTAATCTCAAAATAATAATGTGAGCAACTTGGTTTTTTTTAACATATTTTAATGTTAATCATGATATCAATAAAAATGGAATGATTTTAAAGAATTAAGGTTGCTATTTTTTACCTTAAAAGCCCCCCTTCTTGCAATAGTTCATTTTAGACTAAAGTAAAATGTAGGTATAGTTGTAATGAACTGAGACAATTTGGGAAATTGTTTTTTTGAAGCTCGAGCCCTTCTATACTTTAGGCTATTGTAACACAGAACAAGCCCTCCAGCAAGAAGAGAATTAAACACATTTCAGAATATGTCATACGTTTTGAACTAACTAGGAGTTAGGGTTTTTTTTCAAATTTATTAGAAAATTATCCTGCAAATAATTTGGTGTGTAGTATTAAGTTTGATGCCCCATCCAGCTTGGAGCTAAAAATACCTTGGTAACAATACGGGTGAGAACAAGTAATTTTCACTCATTATTGCATAATTATTGTACACGTTATTGCATAAAATTTGTGGGATGATACCTGTGTGAGTAAAGGCACTAAACATTCTATATTCAATCAAGAATATGCACTTGTTGGGAAATTATGGGAGAACATCAACCCAGATGCCAGTTCTACTAGAATGTATTTAAGGATGGGAAAATAGTTCCTCCACTGTTCTTGTAAAGATCACCCAGTACAGTGAAGGAAATAAGTATTTGATCCCCTGCTGATTTTGAATGTTTGTCCACTTACAAAAAAATCATCAGTCTAAAAATCGAATGGCAGGTGTATTGTAACAGAACTGCAACAACAAATTCAAAAGAAATGCATGTCTAACAAATTTTGCACTGATTTACATGTTCATGAGTGAAATAAGTGTTTGATCCCCTATCATTCAGCAGGATTTCTGGCTACCAGGTGTCTTTCATACAGGTAACAAAATGAGATTAGAAGCAGTCTCTTAAAGGGAGTGCTGCTAATCTCATTTTGTTACCTGTATAAAAGACACTTGTCCACAGGAGCAATGAAACAACTGTCAGTCTCCCTATGTCTGGTGCACCATGCAAGATCTCACCTCATGGAGTGTCAATGATCATGAGAACAGCGAGGAATCATCCCAGAACTACACGTGAGGATCTTGTCAATGATCTCCAGGCAGCTGTCAGGGCTCCCGGGTGTGACCAGAGGTATGTGACTGACGCAGGGAAACGCAGACTTCAGATATGTTATAAACAATATAATTTATTAACACTAACAATACAAACATAAATGCAGTGCAATACTAAAACATAACACAGAGCAAACAAACCAAACCAACCACCCACAGATAACAGTACATACAATGCAAGCGTCGTCAGGCAGGCCGGGTCAATATCAATCGGGCAGGTAGGTACAGGGGGAGCAAGCGGAGAATGGTCGGGGTCACAGGCCAGGTTCAGCAGGTAGCGGGCAGCGTGGTACAGAGGGTCAGGCAGAGGGATGGTCAGGGTCACAAGCCAGGGATCAGAACAGGAGAAGTCAGCAGAGGTCAGAATCAAGCAGGGTCAGCAACAAGACAGGAACAGAAACGCAGGTTTACAAGATACAGGGCCCAGGAAAAAAACACACACCAAGGCAGAGTCTGCAGGTCTGGCCATCCCTTAAATACACCAGTATAATTAGTTCCAGGTGTTTGACTGGCTGCAAGGTTGAGTCTCTGATTGCTGGGAGCACCCGCTGGCCAGCCCTGGTACTGCAGCTCATAAGGCAGGTGAGTCCCACTATTGCTGGCCAGTCCATTCCTGACAGTACCCCCCGCTCAAGGAGCGGCCTCAGGATGCTCCAAACAGTCCTAGCTGGGCAAAAATGTTCCACCGCCCGGGTCTGGTAACTGGCGGGATATCAAACCGGGCAGGACTGGCACACACCGGGCAGGACTCCGGGCAGCGGCACACCGGGCAGACACTCCGGGCAGAGGCACACCGGGCAGAGGCACACCGGGCAGAGGCACATCGGGCTGGACTCCGGGCAGAGGAACATCGGGCTGGACTCCCAGATAAGGGCAGGGGGACATCGGATTACCAGGCGAAGCAGCAGGCAGCGGGCCACCAGGCGGAGCAGCAGGCAGCGGGCCACGGGCTGGGCGGAGCAGCAGGCAGCGGGCCACCGGGCGGAGCAGCAGGCAGCGGGCCACCGGGCGGAGCAGCAGGCACACGGGCCACCGGGCAGAGCAGCAGGCACCGGGCCACCAGGCGGAGCAGCAGGCAGCGGGCCCCCAGGCGGGGCGACAGGCATCGGGCCCCCCGGCGGGGTGACAGGCATCGGGCCCCCCAGCGGGGCGACAGACATCGGGCCCCCAAGCGGAGCGCGCGGGCGCTGGGCCCCCAGGAGGGGCGACAGGCATCGGGCCCCCAGGGGGGCGACAGACATCGGGCCCCCAGGAGGGGCGACAGGCATCGGGCCCCCAGGCGGGGCGACAGGCATCGGG